GGCTCACGCCTGTAAACCCAGCACTTTGGGACGCCGAGGTGGGCAGATCACAAGGTCAGGAGTTCGAGATCAGCCTGGTCAACAAGGTGAAACTCCATCTCTACTAAAGATACAAAAAATTAGCCAGGCATGGTGGCGCACACCTGTAATCCCAGCTACTTGGAAGACTGAGACAGGAGAATTGCTTGAACCTAGGAGGAAGAGGTTGCAGTGAACTGAAATCACGGCACCACTGCACTCCGGCCTGGGCAACAGGGTGAGACTCCATCTTGAAAAAGAAAAAAAAATTAGCCAGGTGTGGTGGTGTGTGCCTGTAGTCCCAGTTACTTGGGAGGCGAGGTGGAAGGATCACTTGGGCGAGCCCTGGAGGTTGAGGCTGCAGTGAGCTATGATTGCATCATTGCGCTCCAGCCTGGGCACAGTGCGAGACTAGCTAAAAAAAAAAAACAAAACAGCTACCCAGGTGTGGTGATGGGAGCTTGTAGTCCCAGCTACTCAGGAAGCTGAGGTGGGCGGATCACTTGAGCCTATGAGCCCAGGAGTTCGAAGATGCAGTGAGTTATGATCATGCCACTGCACTCTAGCCTGGTCAACAGAACGAGACTGTATCTCTAAAAAACAGAACACATATATACACACACACACACACACACTCGCGCGCGCGAAACATAACTTAGCATTATACATTATTTAGGGTACTTCATGTCGCCAAATTATGAGTTCCTTGGGCCAAGCACAAAGTAACAGAAAAACAGGGGACTTGGCCAGGTGCAGGGGCTCACGCCTGTAATCCTAACACTTTAGGAGGCCGAGGCAGGTGGATTATCTGAGGTCAGGAGTTCGAGGCCAGCCTGGTCAACATGGCAAAACCCAGTCTCTACTAAAAATACAAAAATTAACCAGGCACGGTGGCAGCGGGCGCTTTTAATCCCAGCTACTCAGGAGGCTGAGGCAGAAGAACCGCATGAACCCAGGGATCGGAGGTTGCAATGAGCCGAGATCACGCCACTTCACTCCAGCCCGGGCAACAGACTGAGACCCTGTCTCAAAAAAAAAGAATTCCCCCTACTGCAACCCTACTGTCCTCTCCCAAGCTTCCTCTTACATGCTACTGCTGGAGATAGAAATAAGACTTTGGCCAGGCGCAGTGGCTCAAGCCTGTAATCCCAGCACTTTGGGAGGCTAAGACGGGCGGATCACGAGGTCAGGAGATCGAGACCAACCTGGCTAACACGGTGAAACCCCGTCTCTACTAAAAAATACAAAAAACTAGCCAGGCAAGGTGGCGGGCACCTGTAGTGCCAGCTGCTCGGGAGGCTGAGGCAGGAGAATGGCATAAACCCGGGAGGCGAAGCTTGCAGTGAGCCAAGATCCCGCCACTGCACTTCAGCCTGGGCAACAGAGCGAGACTCCGTTTCAAAAAAAAAAAAAAAAACAAGAAATAAGACTTCTTAGCCTGAAGTGAACTATCATTCGAAAGCAAAACAGGTCAATTTCCAAGAAGTTTCTAGTTTATACCTTTCCTAGTTGAGCTATTAAGTATTTCCTGTATAAGCCGTTCTCTTCCATTTCCTGCTAGGTCAGAGTCAACAAATAACTGGTTCATATCAACAGGTTTAATTAAGCAGATAACTTACTATGTCAGCAAGATGAGCCAACATGTGATGATACCTTTGACTAAAGTTAGAGTAGATAAGTAGTGCTTCTCCAGACTGCAAGCATCTGAAATTTCAAGTTTTCTTCCAGACATCCCAGAGTACGTTAGTTCCCTTCCACATGCCTAAATGATCCTCCAGCTTAAGAAAACTCAAGTCCATGCTGTTAAAAATGAGACGAACTTTTCACGGCGTTCATGTAATATATTAATAGCTGCCCAAAATAGCTGTTATCTTCAGCAATAGCCCAACAGGTTCTCTCTAATTCTAAGTCCGTCTCCAAAGAGGAATCGCAAAGCATCCTAAAAGGTTGGTTTCAAGGGAAAGCCAATATAGCTTACTCATAAACATCTCTGCAAATGGAAGAATGAATAAACGAAATCCAAAGATAACCCTCCAACCTAATTTTAGTTTTTAAATTTCTGACTCCTCTTCCCAGCAAACCTTTTTCAAGATTTGGCAAGCAGGCCACAGAGTAAGAAAAGTAAAGATTTCTGGTGTTCCCCAAGCTATTACTTCCTGCTGTTTTCCTCAAAGAGTGGGTAATCAGCTAGTTTACCACAATGCTAGTAAACAAGGAAAACTGACCGGCAGAAAGCAAAACCCTAAAGGCAAAGATAATCCACACTAACCAAGAGCTATTTCTATCTGAGGTCAAATATAAGAAGAGAACTGCTTCTTAACAGCTCCTACTTAACAGTCCCACCCACACTACCCCACCCCCTCTAAATGGTGGCACTTGTTTGGTCACAAGAGCCAACTTTCTAACTTCAGAAAATCATCTCTCTTTCACATCTTTACTACTCACTAAAGATCTAGTGACAGACTTCTCATACCCTATAAACACCAAAAAATAACTCAGAGCCTATCTGGTTCTTCAATATACTAGGAATAAGGCTAGGTGCAGTGGCTCACACCTGTAATCCCAGCACTTTGGAAGGCTGAGGCGGCAGATCACCTGAGGTCGGGAGTTTGAGACCAGCTTGACCAACATGGAGAAACCCTGTCTCTACTAAAAATACAAAATTAGCTGGGTGTGGTTGTGCATGCCTGTAATCTCAGCTACTGGGGAGGCTGAGGCAGGAGGATCACTTGTACCCGGCAGGCGGAGGTTGCCGTGAGCCGAGATTGCACCATCGCACTCCAGCCTGGGCAACAAGAGCAAAACTCCATCTCAAAAAAAAACTAGGAATAAATTATTTCTCAAGTCTTTTAAAATTTCATGAGCTTACAGAAGACACCCAAAGAGCTCCTATACTCTGGCAGAAGGTATATTACTAAGCCAAGGTTTCAAAAACCTATAGGCTTCAAAGAATGGGATATCCATATAAGGCAACACCCATATGAAACTCAACAGCCTTCCAAATCTGTCCCTGGCCATCACTAAAAAACGTGTGGCATTTCCCTGGAATCTGACAAGATAGGAGCTCCAGATCTGAGGTAACGACATTCACTAGCCTCAGTTACCCTCTATTATTTTAGTTGCCTAAGTGTTTCCTTGCTTTGCTGTACTGTACAGAACACACTACATTCCCAAGAAAGGCAAAGCAGTACCCATTATTGCAAGATTCCTCTAGAAGGAAAAACTTCCACCACACTAATCTGAGAGACTTAATGAAAGGCACCTGCTACTAAAATCGGAAGCATAACTTATTCATTCAACAAATATTTACTAAATACTCTGTGCAAGCCTCTGAATATTCAACAGTAAATAAAAGAGGTATGGTTCCCATTTCTGCAGAATAAAGTTCAGTGAGACAGACACTAGACAAGCAAACAAATATGTAATTACAAAAAAAGCTATGAGTAGGGTAACCTAATCTATACCTGTTGTCCCAGTGTAAAATAAAAGCATTCCCCTTTACTCTCAAAAATGTCTCAGGTTGGACTACAAATGATATGGTCACCTTAACTGTGAAGGACAAGGTACTATGAGAGAGAGTAACGCAGGCAAGTTACTTTAGCCTGGGTGATCAGAGAAGACTTCTTGGAAGACATGCCATTTAACTGAGTCCTGATGGGTGGTAAGGCTCCAGTCATTCTGGAAGGAAAAATGTTCCAAGTACACGGGACAGCACAGGTTATGACAGGGCTTGGGTCATTATTATTGATCAACATCAATTTTGACTAAATAAACGGAATTGTCAAAAAAGTGACTTAGAGCCAGGCATGGTGGCCCACACCTGTAAACCCAGCACTTTGGGAGGCCAAGGCAGGCAGATCACTTGAGGTTAGAAGTTCAAGACCAGCCTGGTCAGCACGGTGAAACCCCGTCTCTACTAATAATACAAAAATTGAGCTAGGAGCGGTGGCTCACACCTATAACCTTACCACTTTGGGAGGCCGAGGCAAGTGGATTGCCTGAGCTCAGGAGTTCAAGACCAGCCTGAGCAACACAGTGAAACCCCGTCTCTACTAAAATACAAAAAATTAGCCGGGTGTGGCAGTGTGCGCCTGTCTCCAAAAAAAAAAAAATTTGGCCAGGCGTGGTAGAGCACACCTGTAGTCCCAACTACTCCAGAGGCTGAGGCATGAGAATCACTTAACCCGGGAGGCAGAGATTACAATGAGCTGAGATCGCGTCACTGTACTCCAGCCTGGGCGACAGAGAGAGAGACTCTGTCTCAAAAAAAAAGGCTGGGCGCAATGGCTCAAAAAAACAAAAACACTTGGGCAGGTGCGGTGGCGCATGCATGTAATCCCAGCTGCTCAGAAGGCTGAGGCAGGAGAGTCACTTGAGCCTAGGTGTGCAAGTTCAACCAAAGCAAGACCCTGTCTCATACATACACACACAAAAGTGACTTGGGGGTTCCCAGAGATCAAATTGTATGTGCAAGATTAAAATATGCTAGGCATGTAATTGTTCGAACTCAAAATTCAAACATAAAGACAAAAAAGAACCTTTAAGACAGTGGCTTTCAAACTTTTGTAAGTCATGAAACCCTCCAAGAATCTGAAAAACACTTCAGATCTTCACGCAGAAAATGCATATATTCACGTATGCACACATCCACATATACACAATTTGAAGACGTTCATAGGCAATGCCACCACCCAAACCCCAGCACCACCAGAAGTTCATAATGAACTACAAGATTTTAAAAGTCCTCTTTCATTAAGGCAGAAGCAAGCTAACTTATTTGGGAGTTAAGCTATTTCTTAAGATTTACTGACAACATCCAGGAATAAAGAGAAAAACTAAGTGTATATATTTTTTAAAAGATATCACAACAATTTTAAGTCCCTTAAAAACAATGAAAAATAGACAATAACGTATCACCAAGACTCAATGAGACTAATTTTTCCCATCATTTTAGAAAGCTAGAGCTGCCCTTTAATTCTTACCTTACTAACATTGAGTGAAGCTAGGGGAGGAGGGGTTTCTGTTCGGTCATTAATTATTTCCACTTCTGAAACATACTGTAAGTTTATGAGCAAGATGTCTGCATGGTTGGGCTTTCCACTGGAAGAGGGACATTCTGGTGAGAAAAAAAAAGTTAAGGAAAAATAGGACAAGCAGAGGCATTGACACATCCCAAAAGGGGCATAGAAAACACAATTCACACAAGGCTTGTAAAAGGCAGGCCAGGAGCATGAAGGCCTTATAAAAATCACAGTTCTCCTCAGGAAATCTCTGCCTGTCACCTTCCTCCTGCCCAAATCCTTGGAAGCTTCCAAAGGAGTTCTGTCACCTTCTCTCTACTGGCTTTATGGGGAGGCATAACACAGATTTAATGCGTTTGTCTTAAACCTACGAGTCAGACAAAAGAGCTAGACCTTTCTGTTCTTCCTATAATACTCTGTATCTGCACAGTGTTCTTTTTACTCTTTCAGATGTGAGCTTTCCCATTTTGCAAAGGAGAAAACTACACACTGGAAAGGAAATTCACCCAAGGTGATCCAGCCAGTTAATCCATTCATTCATTCACACATTCATTCTCCAAACATTTAAGAGCCTACTGTATGTCAACTAAAAATTGAGTAATTCAGCCAGGCGCAATGGCTCACGCCTGTAATCCCAGCACTTTGGGAGGCTGAGGTAGGCGAATCACATGAGGTCAGGAGTTCGAGACCAGCCTGGCCAACATGGCGAAATCCCGTCATTACTAAAAAAAAGTTAGCCGGGTGTGGTGGCACATGCCTGTAATCCTGGCTACTCTGGAGCCTGAGGCAGGAGAATCACTTGAACACAGGAGCCAGAGGTTGCAGTGAGCTGAGATCATGCCACTGCACTCCAGCCTAGGTAACAGAGTGAGATTCCATCCCCCCCCAAAAAAAAAAAAAAAGAGTATTTCCTAGTTTCAAGACCCTTCCAACCAAACCACTAATGTAAAAGGTCTTATTTCTTCCAGGTGTAACCTCTCATTTTTTGAAAAAGCAACAATTGTTAGCACAGTGGCTCACGCCTGTAATACCAGTACTTTGGCAGGCCGAGGCGGGCGGATCACGAGGTCAGGACATCGAGACCATCCAGACTAACACAGTGAAACCCTGTCTCTACTAAAAATACAAAAAATTAGCTGGGCGTCGTGGCGGGTGCCTGTAGTCCCAGCTACTCAGGAGGCTGGGGCAGGAGAATGGCACGAACCTGGGAGGCGGAGTTTGCAGCGAGCCAAGATCGCACCACCCACCACTGCACCACTCCAGCCTGGGCAACAGAGCAAGACTCTGTCTCAAAAAAAAAAAAAAAGCAACTACTCTTACTATAATTAGTTTCAAAGGACATCTTCCTAAACTAGAAATCTACAAGCAGTGGTTAAATGAATTAAAATACTTGCCACTCAAAGGCAGCAGACTCAGTAGGAAACTTCATTTTGAAAGATGCCATGGCCGGGCACGGTGGCTCACGTCTGTAATCCCAGCAATCTGGGAGGTCAAGGCAGGCAGATCACCTGAGGTCAGCAGTCTGAGACCAGCCTGACTAACATGGAGAAACCCCGTCTCTACTAAAAAAAAAAAATACAAAATCAGCCGGGTGTGGTGATGCATGCCTGTAATCCCAGCTACTAGGGAGTCTGAAGCAGGAGAATCGCTTGAACCTGGGAGGCGGAAGTTGCAGTGAGCCCAAATCAAGCCACTGCACTCCAGCCTGGGCAACAGGAGTGAAACTCCGTCTCAAACAAAAAAAAAAAAACAAAGCCGGGCGGTGTCTCAGGCCTGTAATTCCAGCACTTTGGGAGGCCGAGGCGGGCAGATCACGAGGTCAGGAGTTCGAAACCATCCTGCCCAACATGGTGATACTCCGTCTCTGTTAAAAAAAAAGATACAAAAATTAGCTGGGCGTGGTGGCGCGTGCCTATAATCCCAGCTACTCCGGAGGCTGAGGCAGGAGAATCGCTTGAACCAGGGAGTCGGAGGCTGCAGTGAGCCAAGATCACGTCACCGCACTCCAGCCTAGGAACAGAGCGAGACTCCATCTTTAAAAAAAAAAAAAAAGATACCATAAAAAATTACTCCTTCAAGATTCCAATAAACCCACCTGTAGCTCCCATAAAAGGGGAAGCTGTGGCACATTTATCCCAACAAGAAGCGTTTCGTTTCCAAGACTGAGTTTCCTGGAGTAATTCAGAAGTCATTCCCACCCCAAAGAAGCAGGCCACCTTTTCCAATCAATTTAACATTGCTGCTTTCAAAAGGGAGGCTGCTACTACTACGTAAAAGGACTCCATGTGCTGGACTGATCAAGGCAGCATGAGAACTTCACTCTTTCACCTGTAACTCACACATCCCCAACCCACATAAGCCCCGGCAAGCCCTCTCTGGAACAGGTTTCCAATGCAAACATCCCCCAAACAGCGATTTCCAAATGACCGAGAAGCCTAAAAGTCAGAACAGCCCCCCCACCACCACACATACACACGCATCAGCGAAACAAGCCACTATCCCCAGTTCAGATACAAACTCTGCCCTGCACTTACTCTCCCCCAAAACAGGCAAGGACCAATTTGGTCACCATCCCACCGCCCTTCCTTGGACGAAATCCCATCAGTGCACATGCCCTCCTAAATTCTATACCTTTGCCCTACCAGCAGTTCCTTACCCTAAACATCCCTCCCCATAATATTTCACCCGCCCCTCCTTTCCATCCGGGCTCCAATCCACCAGCCCCCTCCCAACACCACCCCCTCTCCTAATCACTGTGTCCCCTCTCATAACGTTCTTCCCGAAAAGCCATCCCCGTGTCAAGCCCTCCTCCACCCACTGATCCTCGGTAAAGCCCCAGCTCCCGCAAGGGGAGACAGGATCCCCAAAGCTGACCGAAGGGCCCGCGGGAGGGGGAGGGGAACTCAGGGCCATGCGCATGCGCCCCGGGCGCCGCGGTAGCCGGTCGCCCCTAGGCCCGGAGAGAGCCCCAGCCGCCGCCGTCGTCCCCCACCCCCCGACCACCGCACCTATACGCCGGCCCGGACTCGGGCTTCACGCAGGGAAGGATACTTAAAGCCAGCATTTTGGATTGGTAGTCGAAGGCTACCACCTCGCCCTGCAGCCGCTGCTCCTGGCACGTCCGGCACGACACCTGGCTCCCAACGCTGAAGTACTCGCCCGGAGGAGCCGCCATCTTGGGAGTGCAGCCGCGGCCGGCGGCGGCGGCGGCAGCAGCGGGCGAAAGCCGGGCCCCTAGTGAGCGCCGCGACGCGACGCGACGCACGGAGCGTGCTTGCGTCACACGCCGGGGCGTGGTCTGACGCTGGGTGGCTAGGGAGCCTAGGTGGACTAGGGAAGAAGAGGAAATAAAGGGGAATCTGAAAAATATTTGTGTAGCTGCGTCCGCTCGGTTAAATGCTTGTAGAGTCCATTTTAGAAGTTAAGGATAAATGACCTACGTGGAATGAAAGGGGGAAAGAGGAGAGAGCTGCAGTCTCCATTATATGCACACCTTCCACACAAGAGTTTAATGAATGAATTTTATAAAATATATTAACCCCATTTTGCATATAAGGAATCAGAGCCTCAGAGGACTTAACAATACTTGGACAAGATGATTATAACGGCCAGGAGCGGTGGCTCACGCCTGTAATACCAGCACTTTGGGAGGCCGAGGCAGGTGGACCACCTGAGGTCGGGAGTTCGAGATCAGCCTGGCCAAGATGGTGAAACCCTGTCTCTACTAAAAATACAAAAATTAGCCGGGTATGGTGGCGCGTGCCTGTAATCCCAGCTACTAGGAGGACTGAGGCTGGAGGATCGCTCGAACGTGGGAGGCGGAGGTTGCACTGGGCCGAGATCGTGCCACTGCACTCCAGCCTGTGCAATAGAGCAAGACTCCGTCTCAAAAAAAAAAAAAAAAGATGATTGTAACTAGAGAGTGATAGTGGAAAGAACATTGGCTGTGGAGTGAGATAAGCCGGAACCAGAATCCCAGGTCAACCTATTACTAAATCACCTGACCTTGAGTAAGCAAATTACCTGATCCTGTTTCTTCATAGGCATTTGTATTGTCACTTCTTGAGCATCTAACAGCCCTTTGAGGTAGGTATCAATGTCCTCCTTTTACAGAAACTACGTTTTAGACTAAACTTGTCCACGGTTCCACAACTAGCAAAAACAGTCTACCTATTTACAAGGACAGTGCTATTTACTGCTATACTGTGTTAGATAATAATACCTACCTCATAGTTAGGAGGTTTAAATGCGATAACGTGTATATGTGCATGGCATGTACTAGGTCTTTAATAAATGGTAGTTCCCCTTTAGTCATCCATTATTCTTAGAAGTCAAGACACTTCCTCTTCTTCCTTTTTGCCCTCTCCCCCAGAAAGCCAGGCAAAAGGCAGGAATGAGGAGCAGCAGATAGTGACAAAGAGGAACTTGGAGGAGGGGTTTTGCACCCCTGCCCTTTAATGTCCATCTGATATACAAAACAGTCATTTTCTTAATCTTATGTAAAGGACTATGTGCATGTATTTTCAAGCCCTACCAATTGCTGTCGCTAATCCACCCACCCCCACTATAGAAATTTTGGATCCTCGCTTCATGTATGAGAAACAGGTTGACCTTTCTGTAGTCCAGAGGGAGGCAAAGGACCAGTCCTGGCGCAGCTTAACCTGAACAAAGTTCAAAAGTACTTCCTTGCCCTCCAAGAAACATAAACTTCCTGGTGTTGGAGGTATTGATACAATCATTGTAATAGGAATAAAAATTCTGCTCCTTCATAGTGTGCTTTTTCAGAGAACTTTTTTTGTTTTATTGTGTTTTGTTTTTGAGACAGAACCTCGCTCTGTCACGCAGACTGGAGTGCAGTGACGCTGTCTCGGCTCGCTGCAACCTGCACCTCCCAGGTTGAAGCGATTCTCCTGCCTCAGCTTCCTGAGTAGCTGGGTTTACAGGCGCAAGCCACCATGCCTGGCTAATTTTTGTACTTTTAGTAGAGATGGGGTTTCACCATGTTGGCCGGGCTGGTCTCAAATTCCTGGGCTCAAGCAATCGTCCTGCTTCGGCTGGCCTCTCAAAGTGCTGGGATTACAGGCATAAGCCATTATGGCCAGCCTCAGAATTTTCATGCCTCTCATCTTTGCCCTGTCCTCCATAACAAATCATACATAATCGCCATTCCAGTTTTCCACTTTTTATATGGAATCATGATTATAGGTTTTCATAAAAGACTTCTAGGAGCCATTAGGAAAGGCCTTCTTGGAGGAAGTGAAAAATACCTACTGAGACCTGAAGGATTAGCAAGGAAAAAGAGTGGCCATGTTCCAGGCAGAGGGAACTGCATGGGCCAGGACCCCTAGGATGAGAGAACTTAGTGTTTTCAAGGAATGTATAGCTCAGAAATATTACAAAGCAGAGTGTGGGAATAGGCTGGTGAAGGTTGAGGCTAGATCCAGAGCAAACTTTCAAAGACTCAGTAAACAATGTAGGCTTTCTCCTTGGGCAATTAAAAAACTTCCTGGTGGTGTCTGGGCACGGTGGCTCACACCTCCAATCCCAGCACTTTGGGAGACCAAGGCGGGCAGATCACGAGGACCATTCTGGCTAACATGGTGAAACCCAGTCTCTACTAAAAATACTAAAGATTAGCCAGGTGTGGTGGCGGGCGCCTGTAGTCCCAGCTACTCAGGAGGCTGAGGCAAGAGAATGGCGTGAACCCGGGAGGCGGAGCTTGCAGTGGCCGAGATCGGCGCCACTGCACTCCAGCCTGGGAGACAGAGCGATACTCCGTCTCAAAAAACAAAAACAAAAAAAAAACAACTTCCTGGTGTTGGAGGTATTGGTACAATCATTGTAACAGGAATAAAAATTCTGTTCACTACGAAGGCAATAAACTAAGATTTATATCCAGCTTCCCTCCCTTACCCTTTTTTTTTTTTTTTTTTTTTTTTTGACAGGGAGTTTTGCTCTTGTTGCCCAGGCTAGAATGCAATGGCAAAATCTCGGCTCGCCACAACCTCCACCTCCGGGCTCAAGCGATTCACTTCCCTCAGCCTCCTGAGTAGCCGGGATTACAGGCATGTGCTACCACACCCAGCTAATTTTGTGTTTTTAGTGGCGACAGGGTTTCTCCATGTTGGTCAGGCTGGTCTCCAACTCCCCACCTCAGGTGATCCACCCGCCCTGCCTGGCCTCCCAAAGTGCTGGGATTACAGGTGTGAGCCACCTCACCCAGCATCTTTTTTTTTTTTTTTTTTTTTGAGACGGAGTCTTCCTCTGTCGCCCAGGGTGGAGTGCAGTAGTGCAGGCTCGGGTCACTGCAACCTCCGCCTCCCTGGTTCAAGCGATTCTCATGCCTCAGCCTCCCGAGTAGCTGGGACTACAGGCACCTGCCATCACGCCCGGCTAATTTTTTGTTTTGTTTTTTGAGACGGAGTCTTGCTCTGTTGCTGAAGCTGATGTGCAATGGCTCAATCTCAGCTCACTGCAACCTCTGCCTCCCGGGTTCAAGCGATTCTCCTGCCTCAGCCTCCCGAGTAGCTGGGATTACAGGCACTTGCCACCATGCCCAGCTAATTTTTTGTATCTTTAGTAGAGACGAGGTTTCACCATGTTGACCAGGCTGGTCTGGAACTCCTGAACCTGTAATCTGCCTGCCTTGGCCTCCCAAAGTGGTGGGATTATAGGCGTGAGCCACTGTGCCCGGCTTAATTTTTGTATTTTTAGTAGAGGCGGGGTTTCACCATGTTGACCCACCTGGTCTGGAACGCCTGACCTCAAGTGATCTGCCTGCCTCCGCCTCCCAAAGTGTTGGGATTACAGGTGCGAGCCACCGCACCTGGCCCCCTACACTTTTCTAATTAGTGAAATTAATCTCTTTCGGAGAACACAGATTTACATTATCATTTTAATCTACCTATTAGAAAACTTTTAAAGAACTGGGCGCTGTGGCTCACGCCTGTAATCCCAACACTTTGGGAGGCTGAGGTGGTTGGATCACCTAAGGTTAGGGGTTTGAGGCCAGCCTGGCCAACATGGTGAAACCCCATCTTTACTAAAAATACAAAAATTAGCCAGACGTGGTGGCGCATGCCTGTAATCCCAGCTACTGTAGGGCAGAGGCAGGAGAATTGCTTGAATTTGGGAGGCGGAGGTTGCAGTGAGCCGAGATTTTGCCAATGCACTGCAGCCTGGGCAACAAAGTGAGACTCCGTCTCAAAAAAAAAAAAAAAAAAAAAAAATTAGCCGGGCGTGGTAGCGCGGGCCTGTAATCCAGCATAGAAGACAAGAACGAAGATCCCTCTCAAAAAGAAAAAAAAAAACTTTCCTTTTTTTTGTTTTTTTTTTTTTGAGATGGAGTCTCGCCCTGTCCCTGTCGCCCAGGCTAGAGTGCAGTGGTGCCATCTTGGCTCACCGAAACCGCCGCCTCCCGGGTTCAAGCGATTCTCCTGCTTCAGCCTCCCTAGTAGCTAGGACTACAGGTGCATGCCACCACGCCCAGATAATTTTTGTATTTTTAGTAGAGATGGGGTTTCACTATGTTGGCCAGGCTGGTCTGGAACTCCTGACCTCGTGATCTGACCGCCTCGGCTTCCCAAAGTGCTGGGATTACAGTTGTGAGCCACCGCGCCTGGCAAAAAACAAAAAACAAAACCAAAAAAAAAAACTTTTCAAGAACAAAGTTGATCGAGGTAGGAAGAAACTAAGGAGACACTGTTCAACAGTCTTCTAGGCAGGACCTCGCCTAGAGTAGCTGAGATTTCTATTTTCTATGTGTGTTCTTCCAGATGACTGTTTCAAACTCTGTCGCGGGTGTGTGCCAATCCTCTTCCCATACCAACACTGTTACTATCTCTTGGTTTCATCTGCCTAAGCAGGGTTTTGGATGGCAGGAAGATGGGGGTGGGGGAAGCAAGGGAAGAACTGGGAGGAAGTGTGACTTTGCACTATATGTGAGAATTCGCCTTTTTAGGGAAGACCCCTCAAAATCAAGAGACTTATCTGTCAGCCTCCAAATTAATAGCGGGCGATTTAGAAAGGAAGAGTCTTGAGGTAGGCGAGTATGGGGTGAACTGATTAGGTGTGTATCCAAATTTAGGATCCCGCTTCAGCTCCCAGGAGGAGGGACTGTCTGCAGCCTTTTCTCCAGAGGATCTCAGATTTTTTTTTTTTTTTTTTTTTTGCTTTTTTTTTTTTTTTGGTGGGTATTGGTACTGGAGAAGAGGGGTCCGGTCGGGAAAGAATCCTGGCCCTGGAGATTACATATCTGCCTTCGCATCAGCAGAGCAGGGACGCTAGGAGCGCGGGCAGCCCGCCGGCTAGTCCGTCCCCTGACCCGGAACCGCACCGGTGCCGCCGCTAGCCGGCTGCCCACGTGCCGGCAACAGCGGCCACGTGGGGCCCTGAGGAAACGCCTTTATAAAGGTTTGTCCCCTACGCTGCCCAGTAGGAAGGAAAACTGGAGGAGAGCGCAGGAGGAAACAGTACCGGCTGGAGGCCGGTCTTGCAGGAGCCGGGGACTGCCGGGGGCGGGTCCGGGGGCGGGGCTTGGTGATGACCGCTGGCGGGGCGGGGCCTCGGACTCAGAGGGGTGGGCTTTAGAGAGCCGCGGGCCGACGCTGCTTCGGTGTCTGGACATTTTGGCTTCCGTCCTGGAGCAAGCCCTGGCCTCGTCGGTAGCTGGGCCGCCATGGAGTCCACGCTGGGCGCGGGCATCGTGATAGCCGAGGCGCTACAGAACCAGCTAGCCTGGCTGGAGAACGTGTGGCTCTGGGTCACCTTTCTGGGCGATCCCAAGATCCTCTTTCTGTTCTACTTCCCCGCGGCCTACTACGCGTCCCGCCGTGTGGGCATCGCGGTGCTCTGGATCAGCCTCATCACCGAGTGGCTCAACCTCATCTTCAAGTGGTGAGACAGAGAAGCCTTCCGGCATCCTGGTCCCCACCCCTGAGGGCCCTGAGTCATGTGTAAGCCCTGGTCTCTCTCAGCAACTGTCTCAAGGGCCTTCCCACCCCCTACTCTGTAGTCTCTGATTTTTTTTCCCTTTGAGCATCTTTGTGCCGCTTGGACTCAAACCTCAGAGTCTACCCATCCTTCTCATTAGACCAGTGTTCTTCAAACTGGTCTGATCAAAAAATCACCTAAGAGGCGTGCCTAAAATGTAAATATCCCGTCCTCATCTCACACTTTCTGATTTAGAAACTCCAAGGGTTGGGAATTTATTTTTGTTTGTTTGTTTTTTGGGAATTCATATTTTAACAGATATCTATGGTGATTTAAGTAGTGGAGAGCCCTACCTCTCAACTCACTTTTTCATTCATCTATTCACTCATTTGCTATAATTTTTAAGAAGCATGCTTTGTGCTGGGCATCACAGTAGCTGCTACGGACAGACAGCTTGCAGGTTAAGGTGTGGTCCCTGGACCATGCCCAACGGCACAGGCAGCACCTGAAAACTGACTAGAAATGCAGACTCTCAGTCCCAGGGCCAGAATGACAGAATCAAAATCTGCATTTTAACAAGGTTCCCAGGTGATTCCCTGTGCGTGTGCAGTAAAGTCTGGGCTAAAGCACTGCTTTCCAGGGAACACTTTCCCTTCCTTCTCTTTCATTCACTAGTAGACTCTTCACACTGAGACTTAGAAGCCAGGGATCCCAGGAACGTGGGTGGAGGCCCTGTGACCCTTGGGGCTGGGCATGCAGCCACACCTCCCTTCACCTCAACCTCTGTTGCCAGATCCTCAGCCTGGGGGAAGAAAGGGAGGCTCATAGGAGGTATTTCAATGGGCTCGAATGACTTGCTGAAAAACAACATAGAGTTCCCCTCCCTTCCACTCTTTTCCACAAGAGCCTCATCCTTATGTAAAGGGAACCACAGTGGTCTATTCACTTCTTTCTTGCCTAATTGCCCTTTGCTTTGTGCTCTCTCCTCCCTCAAAGTCTGTATAAGCCTCCCCCTCTAGTTCTTGTCCCCCAAAGATCACAATCTCCCTCAGACACTATTAATGTCCCCCAAGTGGCAAAGTCCCTATTCATTTTCTTTTTCTTTTTTTTTTTTTGAGACGGAGTCCCGCTCTGTTGCCCAGGCTGGAGTGCAGTGGCCGGATCTCAGCTCACTGCAAGCTCCGCCTCCCGGGTTTACACCATTCTCCTGCCTCAGCCTCCCGAGTAGCTGGGACTACAGGCGCCTGCCACCTCGCCCGGCTAGTTTTTTGTAATTTTTAGTAGAGACGGGGTTTCACCATGTTAGCCAGGATGGTCTCGATCTCCTGACCTCGTGATCCGCCTGTCTCGGCCTCCCAAAGTGCTGGGATTACAGGCTTGAGCCACCACGCCCGGCCTCTTTTTCTTTTTTTCAAGACAGAGTTTCGCTCTTGTCACCCAGGTTGGAGTGCAATGGCGTGATCTTGTCTTACTGCAACCTCCACCTCCTGGGTTCAAGCCATTTTCCTACCTCAGCCTCCCAAGTAGCTGGGATTACAGGTGTGTGCCACCACACTCAGCTAATTTTTGTATTTTTAGTAGAGAAGGGGTTTCGCCTTGTTGGCGAGGCTGGTCTCAAACTCCTGACCTCTGGTGATCCACCCGCTTCAGCCTCCCAAAGTGCTGAGATTATAGGTGTGAGCAACCCAGCATTCTTTTTTTTTTTTTTTTTTTTTCTTTTTGAGATGGAGGCTTGCTCTGTTGCCCAGGCTGGAGTGCGATGGCACCATCTTGGCTCACTGCAACCTCTGTCTCCCAGGTTCAAGAGATTCTTCTGCCTCAGTCTCCCATGTAGCTGGGATTATAGGCGCCCATCACCACACCCAGCTAATATTTGTATTTTTAGTAGAGAAAGGGTTTCGCCATGTTGGCCAGGCTGGTCTCGAACTCCTGGCCTCAAGTGATCCGCCCTCCTCTGCCTCCCAAAGTGCTGGGATTACAGGCATGAACCACCGCGCCTGGCACCCCCATTCATTTTCTGTGTGAGCACTTGATGTATACTAGGCTCAGTTTTCAGAGGGGAGAGGCAAGTGCCTTCTGTGTTTGCCTCCCCAGCACGTGGTTTCCTGCCAGCATCTCTTTTGCTATCCCATCTTTTGTCTTTCTGGCCACAGCAGCCTCTTCATTGTGTGGTTCCCAGGGCCCAGCCAAGCACTTACTAGACCAGGGGATTTTGACATATTTTTGTCCTCCTTATTCTTTCTCAGCCTTCTCTGTCCATTTCCCACTCCCATTTTCAGACCTGAGAGGCTCACCTAAATAATTTAGGTGTGGATAATTCAGGCTGTAACTGGGGACATGGAGGCAGGGGTAGCAGGAGGGTTAGTGAGGGCCTGTGGGAGAGAGCTGGGTCCTGGGTTCCCTGTGGATGATAAGAGCTGGCCCTGCAGTGAGAGGGGGTGGAGTGGGACAACTGAGTATCTCAGAGCACACACACATGCTTACCACAATCTCTTGCCTCTGTATCAGTTTTATTTTTTATTTTATTTATTTTTTCTTTTTTTGAGACAGGATCTCACTCCATCACCAGGCTGGAGTATAATGGCACAATCACAGCTCACTGCAGCCTCAACCTCCTCAGCTCAAGTGATCCTTTCCACTTCAGCCTCTGGAGTAGCAGGGGCTATAGGCGTACCCCAAGATGCCTGGCTAATTTTTGTATTTTTTGTAGAGATGGGGTTTTGTCATGTTGCCCAGGCTGTTCTCGAACTCCTGGGCTCAAGCAATCTGCCCGCCCAGCCTCCCAAGTAGCTGGGACTATAGGTGTGCACTACCACTTCCAGCTAATTTTTTGTTTTTGTTGAATCTGGGTCTTGCTATGTTGCCCAGGCTGGTCATGAACTCCTGGCTTCAAGTGATCCTCCAGCTAAGGCCTCCCAAAGTACTGGGATTACAGTCATGAGCCACTGCACCTGACCCCAGGCTAGTTTTTAAAAATAGTGTTTCCACAGGCTCTGAGGGTTAGGAAAAAAAAGAAATAGTGTGCTTTCTTTCTCCCGTTCTAAGGTAGAAAACCACGGCAAGGTATCCATGGATACCTTAAGAGCAATGGACAGAATCGTAGTCCCTTTTTGACTTCACCCCTCAGGCCCTCCAGAGTACTCTGTGTCCTGCCCACCTTGTACCCCCCTGGCTGTGTGTGCATGTGGAAAGTCATCTTGCATCTGTTCTCTTCCAGGTTTCTTTTTGGAGACAGGCCCTTTTGGTGGGTCCATGAGTCTGGGTACTACAGCCAGGCTCCAGCCCAGGTTCACCAGTTCCCCTCTTCTTGTGAGACTGGTCCAGGTGGGAAGCCTCAAACATTCTCCCTTTCCCAATGTGGTTAGGGTTCAGGTGAACATTTCAGGGTACTTTTCAGCCTGGGTGGCCCAACCAAAGGTCTAGCCTCTCAATTACTGGCCCAGAGAACAAAGGAACCCCAGGGAGACCAAGCTGAGTTATGGGAGGAGGGCACCCATGCTATGTACCAGCTGCCCACTTTGTGTAGAGTACAGCCAAGAGACGCATACCAGGACAGAAACCTGAGTGCAGTGACCTCAGGTGGCAGTAAAAAGGCCTCAGAACAGAGCCAGTTATGGATCAGTGCTGGGGAAAAGCTCTCTTCTCAGCCAGGAGAGACAGCTGTATTATTGAGGCATCACCAGAGGCCCCTGGGTCCTGCCTCCATCTTCTCACCACAAGCTTCTGGATTCACTGGCAGGCAGCCCTTCTGGACACTGCATGATCACAGGAGCAGCCCTCTGGCCCATAATGACGGCCCTGTCTTCGCAGGTGGCCACTCGGGCCCGCAGGTATGCCCTTGGCATTGCCCACCATTGGGAGCAGGGGTGATGGCACCCTGTACCTAAAAGACCCAGCAGCATGCAGTCTGGGAGCTGGAGTTTTGGGGACCCTAGGTTGTGTGGTTCAACCATGGGGTACCTGGGTGCTGCAGGCTAAGCTGTGTATGGACACGCTCTGAGCTCCTTGCCTCTCTTCTTTCTAGCCGCTGGGTAAGGGTGATGCCTAGCCTAGCTTATTGCACCTTCCTTTTGGCGGTTGGCTTGTCGCGAATCTTCATCTTAGCACATTTCCCTCACCAGGTGCTGGCTGGCCTAATAACTGGTGAGCAACTGGGGCAATGGGGTGGACTGAGAGGATGCCTTTGGCAGTGGGAGGTTCAGTCTAGGATCTTCCCATCGCTCCCAGCTTCTGTAGAGCCCAGCCAAGAGGCCCCCCGTTATATCTCAGTTTGTTCCCTTGCCAAGCTGCACTGCAGCTGGGGGTGGGTGTGGGGAGGGTCATATCCCCAAACTCCCTGAAGCTGCCGTCACTCCACTCTCCTAGGCGCTGTCCTGGGCTGGCTGATGACTCCCCGGGTGCCTGTGGAGCGGGAGCTAAGCTTCTATGGGTTGACCGCACTGGCCCTCATGCTAGGCACCAGCCTCATCTATTGGACCCTCTTTACGCTGGGCCTGGATCTTTCTTGGTAAGTCTCGCTTTGAAGCCTGGGCAGGCTGGGCCCTGTCCTATCTCGCCTGCACCTAGCCTGGTATGTCTCTGGTTCATTATAGCTAAAAAAGGACACATTACCTATTCCCATAGACCCTCACAAGCACAAAGCAGAACATGGGAGTGGGCCCCAAGGGCAGATGGCGAAGAGCCAGTGGCCTTCTACGTTCCAGCCTCTCCTGGCAAGGACTCTTCTTCCCCACAGGTCCATCAGCCTAGCCTTCAAGTGGTGTGAGCGGCCTGAGTGGATACACATGGATAGCCGGCCCTTTGCCTCCCTGAGCCGTGACTCAGGAGCTGCCCTGGGCCTGGGCATTGCCTTGCACTCTCCCTGCTATGCCCAGGTGCGTCGGGCACAGCTGGGAAATGGCCAGAAGATAGCCTGCCTTGTGCTGGCCATGGGGCTGCTGGGCCCCCTTGACTGGCTGGGCCACCCCCCTCAGATCAGCCTCTTCTACATCTTCAATTTCCTCAAGTATACCCTCTGGCCATGCCTAGTCCTGGCCCTCGTGCCCTGGGCAGTGCACATGTTCAGTGCCCAGGAAGCACCGCCCATCCACTCTTCCTGACTTCTTGTGTGCCTCCTTTCCTTTCCCTCCCACAAAGCCAATGCTCTGTGACCACCACACTCCAGGAGGCAGCCCCATCACCTTCCAGCCCCTAAGTAGGCCCTCCCCTCCCTAAATCTGCTTCCCCACCACCTGGTCTTAGTCCCAAAGATGGGCCTTCTCTCTCCCAGAGAAGCTGGCCCTCCCTCTGCCTTTCCTCTCAAGCCCCCAAAGAGCAAAGGCAACAGCAAGACCAGCGGGTTCCTGCAACACTGTGAGGGGCAGCCAGGGCGGCCCCAATAAAGCCCTTGAATACTTTGAGATTCCTTTCTTGCCTATGCGCACATCTCCACGGGCCTTGCCTGTGTGTGCACAAGCGGAACCCTTGCCAGGCTGCTCCAGTGGTCTCTGTGCCACCTCCAGCCCTGTTTCCAGGGGCAGACAGGCAGGAAAGGAGAGGGCTGTAAACTTGGGTGAGACCTCTCAGCCCTAGGTCCATCCCCTGCCTCATCACTGGCTAGGCCACATGAGAGGTCCCATGAGATGCTGTGACTATATTCAGTGTAACCCTGTCTTTCACCTACAGGTCAGATCTTGCGCCCCAACCTCCAGTTTCCTAAATTGGCTTCTAGTCCAGGGACTGGAGAAAATAGTGTTTTTGGCTAGGAAGGAGGATGAGAACCTCTATTCCATTTGGGAGCCCAGAGAATAGACACACTGGCCCCAGAAGGCACTGCCAGAAACAAGTTTATTTACACAAGGACACACAGTGTAACGGGTTACAAAAAACTGAAATCCATATCCAGGGAGACAAAGCAAGGAGTGGGTTTACATGAGAACCAGACCAGCCACAGGGAGAGTGTGTGTAAGGGGCTGGGAGCCTGGGGCTCAGCACAGAGAGGCCTAGTACACTGGACCTAGCTCCATCCCCATCCCCCAGGAGGATCTAAAACACACAAGCACACAATGAACTGATGGTGCTGGGGCTCCTGCCCCTCCCCTGGCTCCCTCAATCCTGCTTAGGCCCCCAATAGGATAATAAATATGTAAACAGATTGGTGGGGCCCTGGGGATAGAAGGAGAGAAAGTATATGTGGTACTGGGGAGAAGGAAGGAAGGAAGAGTCAGCCCCCTAGGAGCCACTTCCCATCTTTGGTTTCCTACAGGCTGGATGGCATTCCCTGGAAGCCTTATAGGCCCACAGCTGCTGGCAGGGCTCCTGGGAAAGAGAAGGGACAGCACCCAGCCCCCTCCTGGTCTTAGCTCCCTTGGGCTGGTGGTCAGCAAAGGGAGCCCAGGAGGTATGGAAGCTCCAGCTGAGAGCTGACTCCTGGATCCCTGGGTTCTGGCCTTACGCCTTCTAGAACCTCCATTCTCACCATCCCCAGGCTCCAAAGCAAAAAGGCCCCAGGAGGGAGGTGAGCCCCTGCCCCTTCTCCCCGCAGCATGCTGGATGGCTGGGGAAATCTGGTCCTGACAGCAGAGGGGCTCTCACCAGCCTGGAGCCCCCCTGCAGGGACCACCTTCTCCCCCTGCCCAGGCTGTGCCAGCAGAGGGGCAGGGAGGCCATCCGAGTAAGGTGGAGAGCAGACCTGGTTCTGCGGCTCCTCCTGGCCTCTGAGAACCCAGGAAACCAGTCCTCTCCTTCCCCACACACTTTCACCCTCTCAGCCCCGGGGAGGGGGAAGCAGGCTGTGAGGAGTGTGAGGCAAGACAGCCCGCCTCACAGACCGCAGGCCACGGCTTGGGCACCAGCCTCCCATCAGTGCTGAGACCAAGAGGAAGGAGGGAGAGAGGGGTCTGTGCAGAGATGGTGAGGACGAAAGGGGAAAGGGTGGAGAATCACAGGGTGGGTGCCCACCTCCCCTCCACTCTGCATCTTAGACAGCAGTGGATCCTCCAGATCCTCCCCTGAGGCTGGAGAAGGGAGGAGGGTGAAATTAAGGCATTTCCCCCCAAGTCAGATGAAACCAAGGCACCGACTTCCTATTCCCTCCTCACTCAGGGGGGCCCCAGAACTGGAGAGTACTGTCTGGGTCCCCGTGCCCAGCTTGAGCTGACCGAGGCTCCAAGGGGGAAAAGGACAGAATGCAGGAAAATGGGTGGAGGGACACGTGAGACAGGGCTGGGAAGACGCCCCCACCCCCTGCAGAGGGCGCAGGCTTCTAGAGCTGAGGTGGAGGCCACAGGGCTGGGGGCCTGAGGCAGCGTAGAGGAGCAGGAGGGGCAAGGCTGAGAGACCCACACGGCACACCTTGTTGAATGTGTGACTTTTTGTTTTTAATAGAAAAAATAAACAAAATCACAATGGTGAAGCCCAGAGGGATGGGGGCCGGGGTGTCACAGGGCAGGCTCCTGCTCCATGGGCTCCTCTGCCGGCCTGTGGGGCAAGCACAGGGGAGGATATTGAGTGGGGCGCACCAGCAGGGGCAAGGGCAGAGAGGTGGTAGGGGTTGCTGCTTACCTGGGGCTGTGTTCCCGGGCTGCTGCAGCCTGGGCCTGCTCAGCCCCCACCGACAGCAAGGCCATGGCGCTCACAGTCTCGGCCTCCTCGGTCTCACCTGCCTGGGCCTCCCGCAGGGAACGGCCCAGACCAGCGGCAAACTTCTGCACACAGCTCCAGTGTTTGCCTGTGGACGAGAGACAGGCAAGGGGTCAGGGAGGGCAGAGGACACCCACATGAACAGCCCCAGTCCTGGTGCTCCCACAAGCTCCGTGCCCCCTTGGCAGCCTGAGCCCCTCTACGTGTCCCCACGCACTCTGGATCTCGATGACTTTCTCTAGCGTGGCCACTGCGTTGATGTTGGGCTTTTGCTGCAAGACTGCCTCGTCCAAGGGCTGCAGCTGGCAGGTGAAAGAAGAGAAGGTTTAGGGTGGGGAGTAGGGTTGCCATGCATACCCCTCTAACTGCCCCACTTAGCCCCAGATATCCCTCACGACAGGGGCAAACATGGCCTTTTTGGACAAACCCATACTCAGAAAGCCTTCCCTGGCCATTAGCTATTCCTTAGGACCAAGGAAAAGCTTCCTAAGGGGCTACCAGTGCTGGCTGACCCCTTGCTGGCCCCTCAGCCCTCTGGCCTGCCACCTCCCAGCTCCTTCCCACCCCTTACCTCTACACTGAGCAGAGCCGAAACACAAGCCTCAGAGGCATCACAGATGGCGGTCAAGTCATGGCCTCCCTCCAGGGCCAGCACCACCCGGCCCCCTGCCAGGGTCATCAGCTGCCTGGTCAAGTGGCCAAAACCTTTGGGGATGGGTGAAGGGAGGAAGAAGAAATGGCGAAAGGTAATCAATTCAAGAGCCAGTAAGAGAAGGAGACAAAAAAGGCCGGGCGCGGTGGCTCACGCCTGTAAGCCACTTGGCACTTTGGGAGGCCAAGGCGGGCAGATCACAAGGTCAGGAGTTCGAGACCAGCCTGACCAACATGGTGAAACCCCGTTCTCTACTAAAAATACAATAATTAGCCAGGCATGGTGGCACGTGCCTGTAATCCCAGCTACTCAAGAGGCTGAGGCTGTGAACCCGGGAGGCAAAGGTTGCGGTGAGCTGAGATTATGCCATTGCACTCCAGCCTGGGCGACAGAGTGAGACTCCGCCTCAAAAAAAAAAAAAAAAAAAGAGAGAGAGAGAAAAAGAAACACAAGAGGTGGGACAAATAACACAAAATATGATGGGAGATATAAACTCAAATATATCTATAATGAAATACAGCGTCAATGGACTAAATGCCCTATCACAGTCAAAACATTAACAGATTGGCTAAAAACTCCAATGACAAGGAGCATCACTGAAACACCAGGGACCAACAAGCCCATCTCTACAGCTCCAGCAGGATACATCCTCTATCCTCTGCTACCCCACCTCCACCTCCTGTCCCCTTAAGGCCAGGGTTGGCAGAAGACAAGTTGGGGGAGTTACCAAGATGATTCCAAGTCTAGGCTCTGCCCCCTGCTTTCCCCGTCCCCTGCAATATCAGTCTGTTTCCTGCCCCATGCCCCACTGGACTCCATATCCTCACTGTTTCACTTCCTCCCTCAATCCCCCAGCAGGCTTACATCTGGCGGTGACAGAGTAGCCACCCAGAGGAGACAGATGTCCTTCAACAGCATCAAACCCAGCAGAGACTAGGACCACGTCAGGTGAGAACTCGTGGGCAATGGGCATCACCACTGTCCTGCAAAGGGATGGCCCAAGCTGAGCCCAGCAGATGGCCAGGCCAGGCCTCGCCCCACTGTTGTCCTCCCAGAGACAACCCCCTCCACCCACACTAAACTGAGTGCCTTCTGCCCCTCTCACTGCAGGGCCCAGAGGGGCTCCCCTTGACTCCTATGGCCCTTTTCAGTCCCTACCTGAAGGCTGTAAGGTACTCCACGTCTCCAATGGGGGGGTCCACGCCTCCTGTCCATGCCACGTTCACATTGTACCCCACACCTGGCCCTCCACCAACCTGGAACCAGAGTCGGGGAGACGGCTATTCTCACTGCCTGGGGATAACAAACATTGCCCCTGCCCTCACCCCTGCCTCCAGGTCTCACTCCACTGACCTCTGTTCTGCCTGGAGGGGCAGTCAGATCAGTGTGGTCCTCCCACTAGGAGCCCAGACTCCCCAGGTACCAACACCACCATGGGCCTCCGTGGCTCCCCGCCAGGTCCCATTGTGCCACCTCCCAGAGGGGCCAGGAGGGTCTGCATTTACGCCCAGGAGCTGTACCTCTTCAGGAGCCCCAGAGCCTGGAAAGAAGTTCCCGTTGTCATAGCGATGCAGTGAGATGTAGAGCACAGAGGGGTCATTGTAGAACGCCTGCTGGGTGCCATTGCCATGGTGAATGTCCTATGAGGGGAGGTAGAAGCATCAGGAAAATGGCCCACGCTCTGACCCAACGATCAAATTCCACATGTCAGCTGGGCGCTGTAGCTCATGCCTGTAATCCTAGCATTTTGGGAGGCTGAGGGCTGGGAGAATCGCTTGAGCCCAGGAGTCCACCCTTGGCCACAGGGCATCCATATTCTGTTCACAATGGTATTGCCCACCCCACACTTCTCTAACTAGGTCTGAGCCTCTGTGGTGTGGCACTGTGTAGGTGATATTCAAAGCCATGGGATAAATGTGGCATATCTCCCTACAGAACCCATTCCACTTCAGTTTGTGGGAAAACATTAAGGCTAGTAGGGAATTTAAAACAAGCAGGTAAGATTCTTCTTTTTTTTTTTGAGACCGAGTTTCGCTTTTGTTGCCCAGGCTGGAGTACAGTGGCACGATCTTGGCTCACTGCAACCTCTGCCTCCCAGGTTCAAGCGATTCTCCTGCCTCAGCCTCC